ACCAAGGTTTGGGGGTGTCCATGGGGAGGGTTGAGCAAGGTTTGGGGGTGTCCATGGAGAAGGTTCACCAAGGTTTGGGGGTGTCCATGGGGAGGGTTGAGCAAGGTTTGGGGGTGTCCATGGAGAAGGTTCACCAAGGTTTGGGGGTGTCCATGGGGAGGGTTGACCAAGGTTTGGGGGTCCCATCACGTCAAAAAGGCTCATCATGCCTCGGAGGTGACACTTTGGTGTGTGGAGTCCTTGGAGGTCCCACCAGCAACAACCAACCAGGAGCTCTGGTTCTCCTGGTGCCACCACCTCTCCAACGTGTGTCCCCACCTTGAGCAGGTCCTGGGTCAACCTCTACTGTGTCCTGAGCAAAGGTGACCTGGGCTTCTACAAGGACGCCAAGGGCCACGCAGCTGGAACCACCCATGGTGGAGAACCTCTCCTCAACCTCCACCACTCCACCAGTGAGGTGGCCAATGACTACAAGAAGAAGAAGAACGTCTTCAAACTCAAGTAGGTTGGAGTCTCTCGGATGGGGGGCACCTGAAACGTTGGGTGGTGGGACCTTCAGATGGGGTTGGAGGACCTCCAGGTTGGGTGAGGGGTATCTAAGTTGGGTGGGAGGAGCCTCAGGTTGGGTTGGAGGAGCTCAGAGTTGGGTGGGAGGACCTTAACAATGACTACAAGAAGAAGAAGAACGTCTTCAAACTCAAGTAGGTTGGAGTCTCTCGGATGGGGGGCACCTGAAACGTTGGGTGGTGGGACCTTCAGATGGGGTTGGAGGACCTCCAGGTTGGGTGAGGGGTATCTAAGTTGGGTGGGAGGAGCCTCAGGTTGGGTTGGAGGAGCTCAGAGTTGGGTGGGAGGACCTTAACTTGGGTGGTGGGATCTTCAAGTTGGGTGGGGGGACTTCATGTTGGGTGGGGGGACCTCAGGTTGGGTGGGAGGATCTTCAGGTTGGTGGAGGGACCTCGAAGTTGGGTTGGAAAACCTCAGATTGGGGTGGGGGGACCCCAAGTTGGGTGGGGAGACTCCAAGTTGGGTGGGGGGACCTTCAGATGGGGTTGGAGGACCTCCATGTTGGGTGGGGGG